CAAGTTTCCACAACCTACGACCTATCGACAGCTACGACGATTTATGGGTATGCTCAATTTCTACAGACGTTGGTTACCTAATGCTGCCAATGAGCTAATGCCACTAACGGAGTTATTGTCTCAGCAAAAGAAAAAGCAGCATGAACTAACATTAACACCAGCAGCCGCAGCAGCTTTCACCAAGGTCAAAGAACTCTTAGCCTCGTCGACTGAATTGGTCTTTCCAGCACCAAATGCCCAATTAAACATGTCTGTTGATGCCTCAGATGCTGCCATCGGCGGTGTTTTGCAACAGCTTATAGGTGAACACCTACAGCCCATCGCTTTCTTCTCTCGAAAGCTTTCTACGACGGAGCGAAACTATAGCACTTATGACCGAGAGTTGCTTGCCATATTCAGTGGCATACATCACTTCCGCCATTTTCTTGAGGGCATGCCGTTTACCATTTATACTGATCACAAGCCTTTAACGTTTGCCTTCCAACAGCGACATGAGCGGCAGTCTCCACGACAGATACGTCAACTAGAATTTATTGGCCAATTCTCGACCGATATTCGACACATACAGGGCACAGCCAATATCGTTGCCGATTGTCTCTCACGACCTGAAGTAGACGCTATCACAACACCCATTACCATTGACTATGACCGGCTATCCGAAGCTCAGACTACAGATGAGGGTCTTCAACAGACTCTGAACGATCCTGCCAGTTCCTTACAACTTCAACGCATAGTTCTACCAGATAGCCAGCGACCTATTTATTGTTCAGTCCAAGATGGACGTATACGAGTTTATGTGCCAGCTGTGTTCCAAAGAGATGTTTTCCTAAAGTTCCACACGCAGTCCCACCCAGGGCATGCTGCTACATTACGAATGATTGCTGAACGTTTTGTATGACATAACATGAATCGCCAAGTCAAGCAGTGGTCACGAGAGTGCATCCAATGCCAACGTGCCAAAATTGGACGTCACACCTTTACACCTGTGACACCTCTAGGAATGCCAGACGATAGATTCGCACACATACACATAGACATTGTGGGCCCACTTCCAGCAAATCAGAACTTTCGATATCTGCTCACAATCATCGACCGTTTCACAAGATGGCCAGAGGCCATACCTATCTTGGAGATTACAACCGAAGTTGTCGCACAGAAGCTCCTTGAGGGATGGATATCCAGGTTTGGCGTGCCAGCAACCATAACAACGGACCGAGGTAGGCAATTTGAGAGCCAGTTGTTCCGCCAGCTCAATGGATTGCTAGGTGTACAACATATTAAAACCACTGCCTACCACCCACAATCAAACGGATGTATTGAACGTTTCCACCGAACGCTCAAGGCTGCTCTCATCGCCGCGGATACAGTATCGTGGGTTGAAGCGCTCCCTCTGGTCATGCTAAGCCTTCGAAACACTTTCAAACAAGACATTGCATGTACAGCCTCCGAGTTAGTGTATGGTACCCCAATGAGTCTCCCTGGACAGCTTCTTGTCCCTAGTGCTGCTACACCCGACGAGCATAGTTTTGTCCAACGACTACGTGAGACCATGGGAGCATTGCGTCCTGTACCGACGAGCAACCACTCAGCCCGTACTGCCTTTATCCATCCGGATCTACAGACTACGAGTCATGTGTTTGTGCGGACCGATAAAGTGAAGCCTCCTCTTACACCTCCTTATACCGGCCCCTTTAGAGTGTTAGAACGAAGTGATAAGTTTTTAACTGTGGATGTCCAAAATGTTCCTCAGCGAATTTCCATGGACCGACTCAAACCAGCATATATTCCAGCGGCCCAACAGGTGCAGGAAGAACATGCATATGCCAACCGTCTGATGAGCAACACAGGTCAACATAGCCGTTCGAAACCAGCAAGTTCCTCACTGGAGGGGAGCCCTGTGGCAGATTGACAGTTAATCTCCAGCCACACATGGGTTGACTGTGCTACCGAAGTGAGGGAACGTCGACGGAGAAAAGAAGAGGAGAGGGGGTCAGCTGATGTCTGCCAGAACACGAATATCATCACACTACGAGGCAACAACGAAAAGAACTCTTACAGTTTTCTTACTTGTTTTTAGTATGTAGTTATTGTTAATAAAGCAATAAAACAGTTTAAAGTGTGCCCAGACTACCTTGCTCCCCGCAAACAGGCCACAAGTTCGTTACAAGAATACAAAATGGCAAGAGGGACAGCAAAGAAAAAGACATTTGCTGAGCAGTTAAATTATTTAGTAAACTTTATCTAAATAAATAACACCACAGACTAAAAAATGAAGTAGCTACAAAAATTAATCAACCGCTAATTACATCAAAAAGTCAACAAATAAATGTCAAAACAACCAATGCGCAAGCTTCAAGACCAATTTCGATGTCGAAATTTGATCTCGACAGAGCTTGTCTAGTCGAAATCAATTTCTACACAACATTCCGATAGTAGAGGTCGAGATGAGTTACAGAATACCGATTCTTACAAATTCCGATCCGACTTGCTGACCTCTACTCGATTTGACTCATTTCTATTCGATTTGTAGTTACAGAATAGGGCTGAATGAGCTAATGCCACTAACGGAATTCTTGTCCCAGCAAAAGACAAAGCAGCAAGAACTAACATTAAACACCAGCAGCCGCAGCAGTTTTTACCAAGGTCAAAGAACTCTTGGCTGCGTCGACTGAATTGGTATTTCCAGCACTAAATGCCCAATTGAACATGTCAGTTAATACCTCAGATTCTGCCATCGGCGGTGTTTTGCAACAGCTTATAGGTGAACAGCTACAGCCCATAGTGTTTCTCTCGAAAGCTTCTAGGACGGAGCGAAACTACAGCACTTATGATCGAGAGTTGCTTGCCATATTCAGTGGCATACATCACTTCCGCCATTTTCTTAAGGGCATGCCATTTACCATTTATACTGATCACAAGCCTTTAACGTTTGTCTTCTAACAGCGACATGAGCGGCAGTCTCCACGACAGATACGTCAACTAGAATTTATTGGCCAATTCTCGACCGATATTCGACATATACAGGGCACAGCCAATATCGTTGCCGATTGTCTCTCACGACCAGAAGTAGACACTATCACAACACCCACTACCAATAATTATGACCGGCTATCCCAAGCTCAGACTACAGATGAGGGTCTTCAACAGACCCTGAACGATCCTGCCAGTTCCTTACAACTTCAACGCATAGTTGGCAATTTGAGACAACCATAACAACGGACCGAGGTAGGCAATTTGAGAGCCAGTGGTTTCGCCAGCTTAATGGATTGCTAGGTGTACAACATATTAAAACCACTGCCTACCACCCACAATCAAACGGATGTATTGAACGTTTCCACCGAACGCTCAAGGTTGCTCTCATCGCCGCGGACACAGTATCGTGGGTTGAAGCGCTCTCTCTGGTCATACTAAGCCTTCGAAACACTTTCAAACAAGACATTGCATGTACAGCCTCCGAGTTAGTGTATAGTACCCCAGTGAGACTCCCTGGACAGCTGCTTGTCCCTAGTGCTGCTACATCTGACGAGCATAGTTTTGTCCAACGACTACGTAAGACCATGGGAGCATTGCGTCCTGTACCGACGAGCAACCACTCAGCCCGTACTGCCTTTGTCCATTCGGATCTACAGACTATGTGTGTATGTATGACAATGTGCGTAAGAGTCATGTGTTTGTGCGGACCGATAAAGTGAAGCCTCCTCTTACACCTACCTATACCGGCCCGTTTATATTGTTAGAACGAAGTGATAAGTTTTTAACTGTGGATGTCCAAAATGTTCCTCAGCGAATTTCCATGGACCGACTCAAACCAGCATATATTCCAGCTGCCTAACAGGTGCAGGAAGAACATGCATATGCCAACCTGATGAGCAACACAGGTCAACATAGACATTCGAAACCAGCAGGTGACTCACTGGAGGGGAGCCCTGTGGCAGATTGATAGTTAACCTCCAGCCCACAGCCACACACGGGTTGACTGTGCTATCGAAGTGAGGGAACGTCGACAGAGAAAAGAAGAGGAGATCAGAGCCAGCTGGTCAGCTGCTCAACAACAACGAAAAGAACTCGTTAACAGTTTTCTTACTTGTTTTTAGTATGTAGTTTATTGTTAATAAATCAATAAACAGTTTAAAGTGTGCCCAGACCACCCCAGACTACCCTACCGTGCTCCCCGCAAACAGGCCCACCCTAAACCAAGGGGGCATTTCGCAATTGCGGGCACTCTAACCTAACCAAGCATTTATATGACATTTAACGTTGGCTTAAATGGTGTCAGAGTTGCCAAGTCTCCAGTTTTTTCATACTCTCACATAATATTATACAAATGTTGATTAAAGTGATATATAAAAATTAATAGTATAGATTTTAGTTAAATTAAAGATGATAATCAAATGCATATACAATAAAATTAATTAAAATTATATAAAAAAATTAATAGTACTAATTAAATTACCGTATATAATAGAAATGCATTGAAATTATATAAAAATTCAAAGATTTTAGTTAAATTAAAGATAATAATCAAATGCATATACAATACAACTGATTAAAATGATATAAAAAATTTATAGTAATAATTAAATTACCGTATATAATAGAAATGCTTTATAATTACAATTTCGTAAAAGTACTTATATTTTAAACCTTCATATACATTTTACAAAAAAAATACGGCAAGTTTTATGCTTATTTAAAATTTGTAGCTTCTCATAACACAAATTATTATTTCGTAAAAGTAAATTTATATTTGTAGCATTCATATACATATTTTACTAAAATAAATACGGCAACACTGTGACGCAGTGCCTTGAGGAAAATATATTTGGTTAGGTTAGAGTGCCCGCAATTGAGAAATGCCCAACCAAGGAATATAGACTGTTTGCCTAAACTAATTACAGTATTTAATGTATTTATGAGTGTTGACCTTTTTTATCAGCATTGATTATAGTAAAAAATATACTTTTTGAATAATTTCCAATATTTCAGTTTATTTGTTAGCTATGGAATTGAAAGTTGAAACTAAGGAAGAGTTTGTGGAATATAAGGAAAGATGTGTAAGGAGTCAGTTGTACACTTCAACATGTATTGGAGGTTTGAAGAATGAACCAGGAAATACATCAGGTAAGACAAGAAATAAAAATTAGTGAACTTGACTGACTTAGTTTGTGTTTATTAGCAATGGAAGTAAAACCTGAAATTAAGGAAGAATTTGTTCAAGATGACCAAGAATATGTAGAGAGTCAGTTATTTACATCCATAGATATTAGAGAATTGAAGAGTGAAATAGATGAAGATAACTCAGGTGAGAGAATTTCAATTGATTTTGTTTCAATTCCTAATTAATGCATGGTTGTCATACTTAAATCCTCAGTTCTTGAAATTTTACAGGAGAGCAAAAACAATTAATTATTTCCTAACATAGTTTCTATGTTAGTTACATAGTATCAAAGAATATAGACTCATTAGTAGTATAATTCCAATTTTTGTATCAATATTTTACTTGTTACAACTAGGTTAGAGTAACAGGAAAAACATTTATTAAAAGAAAACAACATAAAAATGGCGTTTTGATTCGAAATAATACAGTTTTCATGTAAAACTTTATTATACCTAATTGTCGTATCTTTTACACATTAGAATAAACTCATGAACACATTTTAACGACTTAAAATGTGTTATTAGTAAAATAAAAAGTAGCAAAAGGATGTAACTAACATCCAAACTCAAAAAAAACCTGAAACAAAGAGAAATTAAAAAAAATATTAATAAACTTAGTGTACATACTTAGTAATTCATTTTCAAGAATATATTATTGAGAATAACATCAGTCTCTTTTTCTTTTTGAGCTAATACTTCTTCTAAATTCAAGCACAGTCACATTTGGGAAATAATTTCCTTTTTTATCAGATGTGTTATACTTTAGGCATAAGCTACATTGATCCTTCTTCAGAACAGAAAACAAAATATTAAATTAGGAATTAAAAATGTCTGAGTACATGTGATAATTAACAGATGGTTTTGCCTCAAACGCCATTTTTTAAATGGTTACTTTTTTATGTTTATGGTGCTTACTTCTAGCATTGTGTTTTTCTTGTGTTTAATTTTCTTGAATTTTGCACATGAGTATATTCCTTGATTTTGATGTTTAGGACTTTTGTGGTAAGCTTAAGTGCGGTGTTCAGTAGATTTATACCTCCATAATTGTTGGGCTCGTCTTTGTTCTTTATCTCTTTTCTTGAACATTGGTATTATTATGCTGTTTCTCCATGCGTCTGGTATCTTGCAGTGCAATATTAGTTTTTGTATAAGTTTTGTCATCTCTAGGGTTATACTTTCCTCATGTTTTAGAAGCTTGTTAAACAACTTTAGCAGATGAACAACAAGGATTTAGATCCGGAATGATAATGCGTAGACGCCGTATTTGTACTAAGACAAATCACAGAAAAGGCCATCGAGTACAATAAACCAGCATATCTATGTTTTATAGACCTAACAAAGGCTTTCGATCGCATCCAGGTCGAAGACGTCTTCATCATCAATTAGCCTATATTTGTCCACTGCTGAACATAGGCCTCCCGTAAAATTTTCCACCTATTTCTATCTTGAGCTTCTTGCATTCATTTTGTGCTGATGCGCTTGATATCATCCGTCCATCTAGTCGGTGGTCGTCCTCTGCTTCGATATGCCTCTTGCCTTGGTCGCCATTCCAGAATCTTTCTGGTCCATCTATCATCCGTTAATCTGGCAACATGTCCGGCCCAAGCCCTTTATCCATGGCTATTTTTTCAACTGCATCTGTGACTCCTGTTCTTCTTCTTATTTCTAGGTTTGGTACTTTATCTCTGATGGTAATACCTAATATTAATCTTTCCATAGCGTGTTGTGTAACTCTTATTTTATCTATTGTTATTTTTGTCATGAGTCAATGTTTCTGCACCATATTTAGGAACCAGTAAAATGCACTGGTTAAAAACCTTCCTTTTTAAACAAACTGGCATAATAGACTTGAAAATGTTATTCAATCTACCAAAGGCAGAACCATGTGAGACCTATCCTTTGTATTTCAGTTGTCTGATTATCTCGGCCTAAGTGAATCTCATGCCCTAGATATTTGTAAGCTGTTACTTGGTTGATGCTATCTCTCTCAATCAGAATTTTATCGCTAACTACAAGGTTGGTTATAAATTTTGTCTTTGAGGTGTTAATTTTAAGACTAATTGTTTTTGACACTATAGAGCGGGTGCAGCATTTTTGTAGCTTTATCAACTCTATCAGATATTAAAACTAAGTCATCGGCAAATCTTAGGTGGTTCAGATCTTCCCCATTTATATTAGTTCCCATATTATCCTCTCATTCCATTTGCTTGAACATATGTTCAAGAACAGCTGGAAAAAATTTAGGAGAGATAGTATCACCCTGTCTAATTCCACGTTCTATTCGAAACTTCTTGATATCTTTATGAAGGCGGAGACAAGCTCTACCAGTTTCATAAATACTTTTAATCAAGGCGATAAATCGGTAGTCAATGCGGCAGTCAGCCAATGCTTGAAGCATGTTATGATGATCTATAGTATCGAATGCCTTTTCATAATCTACAAATATAAGAAAGATAGGCTTGTTATATTCTGTATACTTTTCTATTAGCATTTTTATAACTTGTAGAAAATCATTTGTTCTGTATCTGGAGCGGAACCCAGCCTGTTCACAAGGTTGGTAACTATCCAGTTTGTTCACAAGACATTTTCTTATTATTTTCATAAATAGTTTGTATGTATGGGAGAGTAAACTAATAGGTCTGTAGTTCTTTAGGTCTGAAATGCCTCCTTTTTGTTCATTATGGTTATTATTACATTATGCCACTGGGAGGGGGTTACAGCTCTTGTCAAACAAGCATTGAACATCTTATTCAACATTTACTAACGTTCCTCCTCGTTCTTTGATTTGTTCAATGACTATCCCATCTTCTCCAGGTGATATATTGTTTTTCATCTCCAATTTTTAAAATATCTTTCTTATTTGTTGTAGTTTCTCCTTTTTATTTACAAGTTTACAAATATTTTTCGATCCTTCAGTCATTTGTCGGCGCAGAACCTTTAAACTTTTATTTTTATCAATGGCTTGAGTTATGTATTCAGTGTTGTAATTTCTGACATCTTTTCGAATGGATTTTGTGATATCTTTGTTTAACTGTCTAAGTGTTACAAAATTATCTGTGTGTTATTATTATTATTATTTGTCTTTCAATTCTCTTCTTTTGTTTATAAGATCTTTAGTACTTAGCTTGAGTGTGTTTATCCATCTTGTTTTTTCCTTTTTCCTTATATTTTCTATGAGCGTTTCGAATCGCACTATTTATTTGCATGTTTGTCACCTCTATATCTAATGCATTTTCATTTAGATGTTCTACTTCTGTCAGTTCTAAACTTAAGAGACTCTGGTAAGCTACTCTATCTTCTATCAATTTCCATTTATTAGAATGCCTCTCTGTTATCATTGCTGTCCTCTCTCGTCCAATGTTGATTATTATTTTTGCTCTAACCAACCGATGGTCACTCCCAACAGTGATTTTATTAATTACTGTAACATCTTGGACAATATTTTTTCTGTTTGTGATGATGAAATCAATTTCTTTTTTTTTTGAAAGTCGTCTTTCACCTACTGTATAAAAGAAGAATATCAATCAATATTATACAAACCATTGAAAACATCTACTTACATAATCGAATACAGGCCAAGATAAATGGAAAACTAAAACAGTGTCTACCAATACAAAGCAGAGTCAGACAGGGTGACTCGTTAAGCCCACTTGTCATTAATATAATAATAAACGAACTAATACAAGCAGTACGTAAAGGTAAGGGTTACAGAATGGGGAAGAAAGAAATCCAAATATTATGTTATGCAGACGACGCCGCATTAATCGCCGAGACGGAAGGCGAGCTCCAAAGATTAACACACATCTTCAATACAACAGCCAAGAAATAGAATATAATAATATCAGCAGAAAAAAACCAAATGTATGACAACATCTAAATACCCACTACGATGTAAAATCGAAGTCGATGGGAAAATAATAAAGCAGGAAGTCAGGTTTAGATATCCGGGAATAGATATAACTAGTTACGAAGATGTTGAAGAAGTAGTAAAACAAAAAGCAAGTAAACCGGCGGGATCTTTTATGCCTGGTTGCACCAACAGATCTTAAGCTACAGCTTAGCCCAGCTCCGCTTATAGCTAGGGCCGCCTTAACTCGTGCCTATTTCTCACTTACGTTGCACCATAATTTTCGATTCTTATCTAAGCACGTCTTAACTAAGACGAAATTTAAGATGCAATTCACATGGCAACCATGTATCTTGTCAATTGTACATTATTGAGTGACGCTTTAGGTTTATTTAGTCCCGCGCAATTTTCGTTTCAGCATCTACAAAATTTTCAATTTAATTTAATTTTAAAAATGGACAAAAAGAGAATTAATTGTACTCCTGACGAAAAAAATTTACTTGTTCATCTACTACAGGTAAACAAACATATAATAGAAAATAAATCCACTAATGCTGTGAGCAATAGGGAAAAGGATGAAGCTTGGAATCATATCACAATGCAATTTAACGAAAAGGTAAGTTCTAATATATGATTTGATATGTAATAAGTGTCAAATTTGATATGTCATAAGTCTAACAACTTAATTAATATATTTCCCATTTATTGTAAACTCATTTGACCTAACGGAATTATCACTAAAAATAAAAGTCGAAGTTATTCTAATAGAAGTTAGCCTTGAGAAAATTTTATGTTAAATTTGCATCATATATTAATTGTAATAAGAAATAATAGTGTAACTCGATAATTGTATTGTAATGTATTTTTAGCTAACAAATGTTCACCGAGAGGAACCTTCCTTGAGGAAGCAGTGGTCAAATATTAAGCAGGACCTAAGAAAGAAGGCTGCAGAATCACGACGGCAGTTATATAAGACGGGAGGGGACCTTCAGCTCCAGAGGCAAAAGATATAGACGAGACAATCATTTTAGAAGTGGTTAATACTAAAACAATATCTGGTCTTGACAATCAGAACGACTGTGACGCTTTGTCTCAATGTATGTACAAGTTTATTAATCAATAATAAAAGTAATTATGAAATTATGTTAAAAATGGTATAATAAAGTATTGTAAAAAAATTTCAGCATCTACAAACACATATATGGCAAGTGACAATGACCCAGACTATAACTAAAACCATAATATAAGTGATGTGGAAGAACATGTGGTAGAAGAACGCAATGTAGAAGACAGCAATA